GCATGGGCCAAGGCGTCCTTAAGCGTCTCGTGGTGCCCGAGCCTCACAGCAGCTCTGACTTCCAGGTCGCGGATGCCGTCGATAAATGTCTGCACCAGGTTCCCTTCAATGAGCGCAGGTACAGACCGGTAAGCTTTTCGCACCAGCTTCTCCACCTCTAGAGCCCACTGCTGCAGGTTTTCGTTGATGCGCTGCACACGATCTTTAAGCTGCGCACGAAAGACGTGTTCCAGGTGAGCGTCGCCATATCTCGCCTCCAATGCCTCAAGGAGTTGCTCATAAGTCACTTCCTCACCGAGAGCTTCCAGAACTGTTAAGGCCTGGTCGCGCAGGCCTAGTGTGAGAGCAGTCATGGCCTGACTTTTATTCCAGCCGTTCGCCTTCATAACAGCCTCGAACTGGATTTTGTAGGCTGACCAGGAAGAGGTACCGTCGAACGGTGGCACCTTGAACCCACGTAGCGAAGGTGTTGTAGCTACTACGGGAGCTGTAGCTCCATCTCCAAGTTTGAGTTCGTCCAGTGATTTCTTCATGTCAGCCATTACGTTGTCAACCCGATTGTTTACTTGGTCGATTCGGATTTCAGCTTTCTCGATTCGGTTTTCAGCTTCCGACAGGCGGTTGTCATGGTGAGCAACCCTATCCTTCACCTCCTTTATCTCCTTTCCGAAGGTAGCGTGAAGGTCCTTCATGAGGAGCATCTGTTCCTCCTGGCCTGTCGGCGGGCCTGTTCCTCGTGTCGGCGGGGCTGTTCCTCGTGTCGGCGGGCCTGTTCCTCCTGCTGCTCTTTCAACTGACGGGCCTGTTCCTCCTGTCCGCCCCGCAGCTGCTGCAGCATCACCATCAGAGCACCTAAGTCAGGTGCCACAGACGTAGAAGCTGCTGACGGACCGGCTTCCGTGGCCGGCGGCTGGCCCTCAGACATCTGCGGCGTTGCACCACCAAATCTCCTCTGGTCCGTCTCCTGTTGGCGTTGACTTCGGGTACGGACACCCTCCGTTTCCTCCTTAGGTAAAATCGGCATTATTTTATCCCACTTCTGACACCAATTGTTACGAGCTTGAGGTTCGTGACAATAAAAATTGCCGATAAAATTACCTAAATTAACACTTTAATTTACTTTACACAAATTAAAGCTAAAACACTAATAATTAAACACACTAATTCACTTAATTTCGCTCCGAAGCTTCGCTTGTTTCGTCAAATCAACACTGCCTCGATCGCATCTTGCAGCGCCTATATATTTAAATTAGCAAAGAAATATCCAGAATGTTCAAGTAAACACGCGCAAGGTACCGAGCGTTCGAGTTTCGACTAGGCGCTGTCGGTCGAGTAATTTGTGATGTCATTTTCTCAATGCTCCCCTCGCTCTCGTTCCTGACACTAGATGGCGCTAGTGTATCGTTGACTGGAGCGCGTAACAGTATTATAGTCTGTCTTCGTTTTCGGGAGCATTACAAAAATACCCTGTATATTCAATAAATGAAAACACACACTTCTTTGCTGATCTATCTGATATACAAAAAATGAACGAAATCGGTCCAGTAATTAGGTCACTAAGTCAATGTTTCAATGAACTTGTACTTGAAAATTAAAAAGCGACATTGCCACGCAGTGCAAACTATCACGCCACCGCATAACGGTTAAACTAGACGTCTTAAAATTTTGTTATTTAGATTTATTTAAAGCACTGTCTATATCTTTTTTACCATATAACAATAGTTCATGATAGTTTCTCCCAATAAAAGAAAAATTTCAGCAGAAATATTTCTTTTTTTTTAAATCTAAAACAATTTTTTTCAACAGTTTTGTTTCGCTACAATAATAATCTAAATATTGTGAAACAAGTTCGTAGTAACAAAACTATAATGAAAATAGTATTATCAAATATTATGAATACCATTAGCTATTTAACAAAAACTTTTTTCTCGCGATACTCAAATCACAACACAGTAAATTCACACCTCAAAGTTGACTAAACATTCAAAGCGATATGAAATCACCCACGAATAAGTTTTAGCTGACTGTTGTTTTAAAAAAACGTCGAAACTATACGTGCTTATGTATTAAATCCGTTGACCGTTTCATTAGCTTTGATTTAGTATACATAAGAAAAAGACAAACGTTGTTTTGGCGTTTCATTTAAATGTTATATGAAACAACTACGTGACCACCGTATAAAGGTCGATGGGCGCTTATCGGGGGTAAAAGAGTCAACCGTAAAACGGCGGCGGGGCGCTCGAGAGGTTATTATAATAGTATTAGTATAACTATGGAGTGTAGAAGTAAGGAGTACAGACTGTGTATTAAAAAGTGTCCATAAAAACCTTTAAATAAAGGTGGCGTTACTATAGCTACGGGGTACATTTTAAAGAATGCACCGAAAAATATTAGTGGGATAGACGACGTTTTCGAGGTTGTATTAACTAAGTAAAATTATTTTAGATTTTAGAGCTACTGAGCAGTTTAGCAGCGCACTTAAGCTGTCGACTACTGCTAAGGTCATATCAACCCAGTAGCTACTCCAGCGCTGTTGTGGAGAGTTTTTCAGCTGTTATTTACTGCTTACAGATGGCCACTTTTTCAAGTATTCTACTATGGGTGTTGGTACTCCTTACTTCTACACTCCATAGTAATAACTTTGAGTTTAAAACGCAGTGATCAAAGAGAATATAAACAGATGTTCAGTGGTACGTTAGTACTCTTATTAGTTTGTGTTTAGTGGTGATTAGTCTTCGGCAGTGTTGCCAACTTAACGGGTTTCCCGCTAGGTTCGACACATAGAGGTTAGAGAGAAGGAGAACAATCGCTACTTACCAAAGCATAGCCCGCCTGTCCCTGAAAATTTGTAGCATTTATAGCGGCACTGCCGTCGGTGAGTAGTGGCTGCGAAGTTAGCTGTTTATGAGTACAAGTAGATGAAGTTAGTTGAATAATGTACAAATTTTCCTTCGCGGCATTGGTGCGAAAATAATCGTGATCCTTAATTTTTAAATTTTTGACAAAAAGAAACATTAAAAAATGGAGAAATATTTTATTGTGCATGGATGTGCAGGTGGTTTAGCACATGAAGTTAAACTTCATGGTTTAGCACCTGATCGGAAAAACAGACTAAAAATGACTTTTATTGAGAGAACTTAGCGATCGTAGTGCCTCACTTATTTTGTCCATATTTCTGAAACACTATTTTCTACAGCGATCGTTCTCCTTCTCTTTAACCTCCATGATTTGACGGGTCAGCGAGGTTGGCAACGGGAAACAATTGTGTTTAACGGCTAACGGATTTTTCAGAGGGACATCAAAAATTAGAGTTTTTTTAATTTGTTTTTGAAATAAAAATAATTTGTACATGGCAAAAATTAAATTATATTTTTTTATTTTAAAAATACGAAAAAAAATGTGAAATACATTCTTATCTTTAAAAAGTTGAAAGAGTAAATTTTCATTTGACGTAATTCTTTTAAATACAGCTCGGAAACTGTTTTGTTGTTGGACGGCCAATATGATGCGCTACTGTTGAATATATAGAAAATTATTAATTTCTCTATTTATTTCATTCTTTCTCTTTACTGTTTGAGTCGCATATCCTTATATTATCTGCAACGTCTAATCTACTTTTATTATTGTCTCTCCTATTGAATTCTCAAAATAATTCTTTTGTTTGTAATATGTTTGATCTGTAATAAAAGTTTTTGTTGAATATTCGAACTAGTTCTAACTAAACAAAAATTCCGTAATGAGTGGCTTCAAGATATTCTATGCAAAGATTGGATCGTGCAAAAATAAACAAATCCAGGAGAATTCGTGGCGTCTTGTAAATATTTTATGTGTGTTGTAAGTAAAATATATAAATACGAAGTCATAAATCAAAAATTCCTACTTAACGGGCTTTGACAAGATTGTAGCATTCTATACAGCGGGAGCGAAAATTGAATGTTGGTAGCACTAGTCTTTGGCTTTACTCTGGTAACTTTTCTTATGTCGTATTGTGAATAGCGATCCAAAGTTTTAAAAATAACGATATATCGATATCGATTTATATTGAATCAAGTTGATATTTAAATGTCAAATACGCCGATATATCGATATTTCATCGATATTTTTCTTTTTTTAAAAGGTTAATAAAACGGAAATTTGGAACTAAAAAATGTAAATTTTAATATACCTATAATTTAAAAAAATTGTATTCCAGTATTTTGTACCAGCTATCGAACTTAAAAATAATAACTTGGAAAGTCTGCTTCCATGTAGCCGATTTCGGCTCTGGGTTATAGTAGCTCCTGTCTTCGAAAAATGACGTTCTGATGGAACATTCATTGCCATAAATTCGGATATACACACTGCTTCTCTTGCCATGTTTTAAGAACATTTACTTTTAAAATATTTATAGGAGCAGAGAGATATAACGTGAGTTCATCGTCACCGTCAGTGTTTTTTCTTTATATCTGCGTGTGAGCCAAAGATTTTTGGTATTTCCAAAAATCAAATTCAAATCTTTTTTCATTTTCTGAAGAAGTTGACGAAGCCGTTACGGCAGATTTATATTAAGAAATGAATTTTCTAATTCGGGACATTGCTTTCGCACAAGCTTCCGGTTCTTTAAAATGCAAGTTCTTGAAACGCGGGTCTAGTAATGTAGAAACGGCTAACAACATGTATTCAAGATGGCCGAAACGCGTTTCTATCTCCAACGTAATATTTCTCTTCAATTCGTCAGCAATAGTCGAAGTCACCCCCAATTCCTTGTATTGGTCAATTGCACAACCCACCATGGGTACAATTTTAGAAATTGTGACGTAACGTTTGGCAGAAACCTTTCTTGTCATAGCTTCCAGTGGACGCATAACATAATCAACATCTTTTAGTGCTGAGCTGAACTGCTGTCAACATTTCAGGTGCATCTATTTTACAAAAAATTATGTCACTTATATATGGCACCAAATCCAAAAGTCGTTCAAGCATATAGTACAAGGAATTCCACCTTGTTTTTACATTAAGTATCACTTAAGAGTTTTTCCATCGGGTATTTTATTTTCTATTTCCTTTCTTTTTAATTCCAATGCCATGTCTTGTCTCTTTTTTATATATTTTACTATAATCTTAACATGCTCTATTATATCATTCAGTCCGGAAGTTTTTCTTATGGCCTCTTCAGAAACTTTATTTATCATGTGAGCAAAATATGGAATATGTTTGTGTGCCCCAAACGTCTCTCTTATAGCTTTAATCATATTTGCACCAGAATCTGTAACGAAAGCCATAACTTTTTCAGTATCTATATTCCAACTTCTTAATATTCCTGTCAATTGTTGTCCAATGTACTCGCCAGTATGACTTTCTTCTAATTCGAAAACTCCAATAGCCATAGATTGTAATACATTCTGTTGCAAAATATGGACCGTAAGTCCCAGATAACCAGTGTTAGTCAATGTCTCTGTCCAAATGTCTGTAGTTAAACTATAGTGATCCACATTTTTCAATTATCCGACACCATTTTTGATAATGTGTCATACTTTTTATCAATCATTGCTTTAATTGTTTCCCGACAAGGCATTTTATATAAAGGGGCTAGTTCCTTAATCAAATGTCGAAAACCTTTTCTTTCAACCGCATAAAACGGCCTGTTATCAACAGCAATAAAATACGCAATAGCATCTGTTATACGGTCGTATTTTGCACCACGTTTAGAATATTGATACACATTTTCAAAAGCCGGAGTGCTTGCGGATGTATTAGGAGTAGTGGACTTAGTTGTAGGGACCACAACCACAGCAGACGAACAAGAAGATTCAACAGTATCAATAGACGTTTCAGGGGGTTTAGCACTTTCATCCGATGTTTGAAGATTAACACTGACTCCAGCACTTCTAGACAAACTAGAAGAAGTACCACCACATTCAGTCAACTTACTAAAAAAGAAAAAAAACAACGAAGTATCGTTGTTTTTTTCTTATATATATATATATATATATATATATATATATATATAATATTTTTATTTTGCTAGACTAAATTATATAATTGTTTTTGTCTTATCAACCATTTGCATGCTTAGGTATATTTTATCAAAAAAATTATATCCGTTTATCGATATTGATATATTCAATCGTCGATCGTCCACACATAACTAAAGATAAAGCAAATCATAACCTAAAAATTTGTTTCAAATATTTCTAAATATAGACTTTATTCACAGCACAGACCCACATTCACGCAGTACTTTTTGTATACCTGAAACACATTCCACAGGTAAGATTAGAATTAGAATTTTAGAAATGAAAAACAACTTTTCGATATATTTGGATGCGTTCATAAATTATTTTATTCAAATATATATTGCGTTCAAATTATCAACCAAGTACGTCTAGTTCTTTTTGCGTCCGCCATCAGCGAAAAATTAAAAAAACTGCGGTATCTAACTTCTTAACCCAGCCAGTTTAGGAACTTTATCTTGAATCAGATGAATCAGTCCGATTCGAGAGGTTTTTAGATCGATTCATCGAATCAATGCGGTGCTCCGAATCGATCTAAAAGATCGATTATTTTAATCCAGATAATCGATTTTAGATCGACATGCGCTATAAGAGTGTACTAGGATATTATATGATAAGCGCAATTTTTAAATAAATTTTGTATGAAATCGCATTAATTCGCTTACAGTATAAGTTAAATATGTAATAAAATCTTTTAATTTTTATATAAATTCGTATTATACAAAGATTCTCTAGTATATTTCTTTAAAAAAATGGTATTCGTATTTCTAATTTTTCAAATTTAATTTCAAATTTTTAATAATAGTATTATCTCGATATCTTTTTCAATTTAGTATTCAACATGAAGTCCTTTTTTCATCGTGGAATGTACTTTTTGTTTAAAAGAAATTTATTATTGACTAATAGCATCACGTCAGGTGCATTTATGGGCATTGGTGATTTAATTCAACAAGAAATTGAATATCAATATCAAGTATTACCAAAAAGATATGACTGGGCTCGTACAGGTAACATGAATGATAAGCCTTTTGTCTTACTTACTTTGAAGTTAACTTAAAGTTTGAATGATAAGTCTTGCCATTTTTGATTACAGTTAATCATATGACAATAAAATGTAATTTATATTACTATTTTAGGAAGAATGTTACTTGTTGGTACCTTGATGGGCCCTATGCATCATTACTATTATGTATATTTAGACAAGGTGCTCCCAAGTGCTGATATCAAAACTGTGACAAAGAAAATAATTTGTGACCAAGTTTTTGCATCTCCAGCAACTATTATATGTTTCTTCTATGGAATGGGTGTATTAGAAAACAAGACATTAGGCCTAACTACAGAAGAGTTTAAACATAAATTCAAATATGTTTACATGGTATGTACATTTGCTATTTATTACTAAAATGTCTCAATTTGCCAACTAAGCACATGCTTAGTTTGAATTGAGCCTAATTAATAATTGCCCTTCTTGTGAATTTAACAGTTTACTAAATTTAATATGCTAATATTATTATATCATTATATGAATGAAACATTAAGAATATTTTATGAATTAGAATGTTATATTAGTTTATTTAAAATTTTTAAGTTATTAAAAATCAGAATAGTATCCTAAAATAATTTAAGTATAGTTAAACTGTTAACTAAATTATTCTACACCTTATTCTATGAAAATAAAAAATGTGTAAATATGTAACAATTCATGGTGCTCAGTTTACGTTTAGATCAGACCTATCCGGCCGTGGAATGACAAGGAGAGATCTCCCACTGGGCAAGATGTTTAACTTGGAGAGCAGTCAACGCTCCTTGTGTTTCGGAGCATCAAGGCCGTAGTGAATGGTGCATACTCCAACTATGAGCCTATTAATACTAATGACTGTGTCTCACGAGGCTGCGTGCTATCTATACCTACGCTGTTTCTTCTGTATATCAATTACTTGTTGATGTTACTGGTTACGCTTTTATGGTAACACTGGTGATGCTTTTTAAACTGGCTGTGCTAATATTTCTAGGAAATACGTCATCGAGTTATGGAAGAAACTTGTCTGAATTCGATTTTTTAATAAACATAATCTTTGGAGATGACTCCAGACCAGTTTAAACTTCAGAAGGTCACAGGTTTGCGCGTTTACCGCTAAAAATAACCCCTTTGTCGTATCTCATCAATTTTCGAGCGCTCCCCGTGCTATTCAGCCAGCATCTATATCTCAGCATCGACATATCAAATGACGTACAGTTCCGCGGTCAGTTGCAAGGGAAAACTAAATTGGTCCGATGGACTGATTTTTATGATTTTTCGTGTACATTTGAATGAGTCCCTGGATGGTTTTAAAACTCAATTAGTGGCGCTGTTGTCGAGATCCTCTAGAAATCATCCGTGCACAGCCGGGGCGGATCTCTATTATAAAATAAAGATGGTTAAAATCACTTTCAACTGTTAAAATAAACGCATTACATACATACAGGGTATTTTTGAAACGCTCCCGAAAGTGAAGACAGGCTATAGTACTAACGATACCGTTGACGATGCGACTGAGTTAAAATCGATCCCAATGAAAAAAAAAATCGTCTTTTCACAACATTTTATTAGCTTTATTCACGCTCCATCACGTTAGTACAGCTAAATGAAACAATAATTGCATTAAAAAAAATCATGAAAATACTGAGAAATAAAACCAGCAGTGAAAATTAAAATGGTACCAGCTGATTATAGGGTCAATAAACGCGCGGACCCTGAACTCTTTTATTTAGCTCGGTACGAAACCACAGAATAAATATGACGAAACAGTGCATAGTTATTACCGTACTTTGCTCACTCTACCCTTCCCTTTCACACACGCGCTACCCGTGTTGCCTCGCAATTTGCAAAACATGTGGAAAATTCCCGCTTGGCCGCCCGCCGCGGTTACCGCAAGGCCCAAGGACACACGAACTACGCAGTACGCATTGTGTCGACGTGCGCATGAACCTCTCGTTTATACTAGCTTATCTATGGCGTGAGCAGTTCAGTTGTTTTGTATATTAAATTATTGTTGTTATTACTTATATTGTGACGGTTAGCGTTTCTTGTTTTGTTTTAAAAATGACTAACGCGTACGTTTATAGTGCTCGTGAATACGGCAACATGTTAATGTGCATTGGAGAAGCCTGTGGGAATGCTTCAGGTGCATTACGAATTTACCAAGTTAGTAAGCTGAAGTGGCAATGTGACGGCCATATAGCTCGAAGGACCGATTCCGATGCTGGCTGAATACTGGCACGGGGAGTGCTCTAAAATTGATGAGATACGACTATGGGGTTATTTCTAGCGGTAAACGCGCAAGCCTGTGACCTTCTGAAGTTTAAACTGGTCTGGAGTCATCTCCAAAGATTATGTCTATTAAAAAATCTTCTTCCGAAACTAGATGACGCATTTCCGAGAAATATTAGCACGGCCAGTGTAAAAAGCATCACCAGTGTTACCATAAAAGCATAACCAGTAACAGCAACAAGTAATTGATATACAGAAGAAACAGCGTAGGTATAGATAGCACGCAGCCTCGTGAAACACTGTCATTAATAGACTCGTAGTCGGAGTATGCACCGTTTACTACGACCTTGATGCTCCGATCTGATGAAAACTGATGATCCTGTGGTGGCGCTGTCATCGAACAACAAGCGAAATGCACCGAAGCCTAAATCACGCCATCGACGTTCCAAAATACCGCGTTATATATAGAACAGCTCTATACTAACACAAGGAGCGTTGACTGTTCTCCGGGTTAAACATCTTGCCCAGTGGGAGATCTCTCCTTGTCATTCCACAGCCAAAATTCAATTGCCCAATTTCTCGGGAAGCCTATGGGAAGCTTTTAAAGAAGCGCTCTGTGTCAAACTCATCGAAGACCTTCGCTATGTCCGAAGTAACGACAATAGCTTCGTTCTTGGACTCTCTGCTTCCGTCCATCTATGAGTCAGGATTTATCTACCTACTTACCTAGAATTAGAACTTTATGTTTATTCAATGGTACTTAAGGTACCTTATGAGCTGGCAGTTTATAATGTATTTCATTAATTTGGAGAACAAGGAGGCGATGGTGAAAAAAAAGTTAAAAAAGTTAGACGGGTCGGAGCGGTCACCTTTTTAGGGATCGGGTACACTAAAGCTGTCTTCCGTAAGTTCAGGATTACGCCTAGGGAGTAGGAGTACCGGAAAAGACGCGTTACAACCGGTGCGAACTCTGGATCACGCGTCCTCAGCACAATAGGAGGGACTCCATCAAGCCCACTCGACTTGTTGACGACCAGGGAGAGGAGTGCTTAAAACACTAAGCACTGGGTAAACTGCACTCCAGTATGGAGCAATCATACTGCGGGTTGGTCGTCGGTGTGTACACCGTTCATCGGGGGTCAAGTTGGACTCAAAAAGAGAACCAAAAAGATCGATTTTCTCCTTTGCGGCATGGGCCAGTGAGTTGCCCTCCCTGTGAGAAATTCTCTTGGACAGCTTTGCAAAAACACCTTAATAAAAGAGAAGTAAAGATGAGAGCTTGAGCAGTTTAAAACTTATGAATCATATCCAGTCAGGCAGCTAAAGAAGAAAGGTATAAAATAATCCAAAATCTTACTTTTACAATCTGTTTTATTTGTTTTGTGCTAAGAATAAAGATGACTGACAGAAGTTCCTTAATACAGCCTTAGAACAAAGAACTTTGTAAAATTAAATGGAGAGGAAAGCTTAAAATCTTTAAATCACATCCAGTCAGTCAATGAAAGACGGAAGGTACTAAATAATTTAGTCTTATTTTTAACAATCTATTTATTTGTTTTGTACCAAAAATAAAGAAAGACAAGTAAAATATTTTCGGCACTTAACTCTAATTTTTTATTGAGAATATTTTACCAAATTTTATTCCGTACATAAGTGGTGCTTGTAAAGGCAAACTCAGCGCTCCCTCGGACCTTGTGACTTGGGCTCCAGCCTGGTTAACCTGTAGGTAAATCAGGCCCTGACCATGAACGAACAGCTCTACTTACTTTTGACACTGACATTAGTTACTAATTTCGGTCTGTTATTTGTATAGAGTCATTGAGCATCGCGCTCTACTATTGATGGCCGGCCCATTGCCACTTCAGCCTTGAAGAATACACGACAGTATAATGTGTCTTAGTTTCCAAATACTACCTACTCAAATGGCATTCGTCGATTGAATTTTGGACTTACCTAAGTACCTTTTAGTGGGCCGATTTTGTCTTAGGGAAACATACTCGTCAAAAACAACAAGCTTGGTAAACAAAAACAATAATTTTCAATTAATAAAAAATAACACTTTAAAAAATAGCACTTTTACTATTAAAATATTTATAAAGCACCTTTCTTTCTTGTTTCAGGGTGATTGTTTGTTTTGGCCCCCAGTTCAGTTCCTGAATTTTTATTACCTACCTACACATTATAGAGTTTTTTATATAAATATTGCAACGATGATATTTAATATATTTTTATCATTTATAAAACATTATGATCAACATAAATAGAAAATTGATGTACATATATAAATATAATTTATATTAATCATAGTGAAATATAAAAATATAATTTATATAAAGTGATATTATAACATTGCAAAGATACTTTCAATCTTTTTACTGTGTATTGTATAACAAGTATTTTGAGACTATTTAGGTCTAGTAAGAAAAAATATAAATGTTGAAAGACTTTAATATATTAGTACCACTTAATGTTACAGAAAATGTATATATTATATTTATATACACATGGATTTGAACAATGTCATAGGAATAAAACACAAAAATTAGAAAAAAGAAGTTGTTATCCCCAGCACATAGTCCAATCATCTTTCCTTGTTTGTAGTTTCACTACAATCCGGTATAGTGCAAGTGCAGGGCCAAGTGGAAGTCCTAAACCTCTAACTATATCTGCTCTCCTAGCCATACTTATTGCTTGTCCGTCAAACTCCTGAAATACCAGATAACAAAAGTTAATTATTATACAGATAAAAAGGTGCGTTATCGAAGTTGAATTTATAGGAAAAATTCAATTTAAAACGTATCGAGGACCCGTGCGATTAATTTTGTAAGTATTAAATCAATGTATATTAAACATAACAAAATCGTAAACAATTTTTGACGTTAATACGTTTTTAAATTTGCTTCCATAGTAGGAGGAAATTCAAAAAATTTATTTTTTTATAGGATATGATGACAAACGAGCATACAATCCACCTGATGGTAAGTGGTTGCTGTGGCCCATAGACATCTACATCTATCCTCGATTACGAATCAAAATGCAGATGCGTTGTCATCCGTGAGGACTTAGGTGGAATGCCTCGTTTCCAGTAAAAAGGGTCTCCGGTTCTCTACACTCACCATACGAAACACAGCAGCATTGAGCTACTATTTGATGCTGGTATTCTGTGTGGGCGTGGCCCTTCCCCGGTCGAACCGACCCATTCGTGCTACAACTATACATCTAATAAAACTGCAGCATGGCTCTACCACGTAAAAATGATATAACAAAATCGGGAAATACAGTTTGGTGTTGAATATACATATCTATCATATACAATATGTAACGTAATTAACGCACACCCTCAGACACCTCAATTAGTATATTATGTTATAATCATAATGCATACACTGAATTTTTAGTTAAATATTTTTATGCACTGATTACTTATCAAATTAGTTATACTAATTCCGGAGAATGTTGTGGTCACAGTATAAATCCAGGAACGCAAAGACTTTAATGTGCTTGAAATAAAGTTCATTTTTCTTTATTTTTATCGAATGACAGAATTAGTAATAATACAAATAAAACTGCACTCTTAAAAGTCTTATTGCCTTAAGTTACGATCCATTTCAGTTGGTTTTGGCTGTACAGATTTAGTGTGACTGTAATTTACGTAGTTTTAATTATTTTTGGGATAAAAAATTACCTATATTAAAAATGATAGGAATCGATTCAGTAAACGATTCTGAACAAACTACTTTCTCAAAGTGCGTTAATTAAGTTACGTGTTGTATACATCCAAAATTTAATTCCTCCATTGGATAGGTAAATCAAATCATTGAACAAAGAATTGGTTACATTAAGTGAGTATGGTCGTGTGTTTTACGTGAGTACGTATACGTTTTCACGTAAAATACTGCAGTGTACACGACATAGTGACATCCCGATTTTTTTGCGTTTGTATTGTGCACCCCAATTTGTGCAACGCTTAAACCCATTTGATAGTGATTTCCAGTGATTGAGATATGCTTGGGCTTATGTATATTGTTTTTATTTTGTTGGAATAGGTCACCAAATCCAAAAAAGGAATTTAAATTTTATATTGTGTTACGCACGCGCTCTGCACGACGTGTGAACAATTCTAAAGAAAAAGCGCTGCTCGGCTGCTTTATAGGCTGCACTGACTAAAAGATTGGATATAGTTGAAAATAATGTACTATGTTAAATAAATGTTGACACAATAAGGGTATGTGTTATATCGGTGATCAGAAATCAGGAATCATCGGTACAGCAACAAGTCTACACACAACGCCATCAAGTGGCGAACTAGAGTTAATGCAGTAGTTATATAAGGTCTTCAACCGAATGCGGAGTTCCTGGTATGTCGTTCCGAGTTTTTATAAGCAAGCTATAGAGCGCGAGTGAGAACCGTTAGGATGGGTGTGAACAGTCTCGAATTGGCAAGGGGCGATGTTATTAGTCACGAAGGGTCACGCGCGTAAATTATTTCTCTGGACGGTATTTATTTGAATTTTAAGTTTTCCTTGTCCGCGAAGCAGACACCATAGTTAAACAATCGAAATGTTCATATATGATTCAATGGGACAGGGAAAAGGTTAAGTTACCATGGTGAAATGTGCAGAGCCAAGCTGCAAAAACGATTCACGAAATCAAACTAAAAAGAACAATGATATTTTTTTCCTCTGTATGTAATATTTCGATAAGAAAACACTGATTTTAACAAAATTACTTAGGGCGTTAAAAGGTTTAGCGGGGAAGCGCGCGGCCACGTGCCCCGCGCCTTGCGCTTCGGGTTTTTCCCGAATTTATTAAATAGTGCTGTTCCACGTTGTACTCGAATATTTTTAATAACATGAACTCTTTCGTAATAATCATAAGACAAAATTTAAATTAATTTGTGTCTAAAAAGACAATAGTAAGACAATAGCAATAACCTATACGTAGTAGTGCACGTGACAGCGAAAGGGTTAATAAACAAACAAAACCTTCAGAAAATTTAAATCTAAAACTAATATATGGCCGTCGCTGACAGCGGCAGTATTACGCCGCTGCCAACGCCGGCCATATATTAAACTCACATAACGACATCTTAGCAGAATTTTCCAGTAACACAAAACTGAATATAATGCAACTTATTCCAACAGTATTGAACACTACCAGACCAACAAAGAAAAACGAGGCATTACAAGTAAGGCAACAGCTAAGCCAAAACCATGCCTAACTTATTGTAAGAACACGCATTCAGTTACAAATATGCATCGAAAATGATTTGCAATCAACAGCGTGGTTTTAGACGCATATTTGTGCGTCCAACAGTGACCTTCTACGACTGGTAAAGAAAGAAAGGGGAATGATGTATCCATAAGTGTGTGTAAATAAGTTGGGCACGACCGGACTACCAGTTCAGTGCCGTTATGAGTAAGTTCACAACGAATTCGAAAATATGCTGGAGTAAGGGTAACCTCCTTATGCGATCCCTAAGAAGAACGGACATAATTTGAATCTGTGGTGATTTATATCAGAAGAAAAGCAATTACAAAACTAGACCGCTATCTTATCCTCAGAATTAAAGATTTCACCGTAAAACTTTCTGGCAAAATATACCCCAAGATATACCCGAACCGCGCCTAATAACAGTTGAGTGTTAGAGGAGAATATACGAAGACGACCGTCATCATCACATCTACGGGATTGTTCGAATTTCTACATTCCTATTCAAAGGCAATGAAAAAGAGCACAGAAATCATTTCGCACAGTGTTATAGCTATTAGAGTAAAATAGCATTACCATCAGCAGCAAACTTTATTTTGGCAAATCCGAAATTATGTCCTCAAATAAACCGTTTCGTAAGATGAAATAGGACCACCGGTAGAAAAAGTAGCAATGAATGTTACAGGTTTGCTACATATCATTGATATGCAGAAGAAACAGCGTACAATAATTATCATATCACATCAAATTAATTTTAAACATTAAATCCGAGCTGACACCATATGCTCAGTATAAATTTACTCGTATTTTAGTTATTTGTTGTAACGTATAACTTAAATTTTTTGAAAAACATTGACTCTCTGAGAGTAAATTAAAGAAATGATTATGTTTGTAAATGTTATAACTACTTATATAATTAAATGATACCTTTTAAACAAAAATACAGTGACAATCCCGCAACAGCAAGCATTTGAGCAGTTCTCACCAAAATTGTACCCCCTTAAATTTAGATGTCCTTTAAGCTTGTGTTTATTTTGTGACTATATATGACATCATATTTATCTGATTTTTTTAAATCTTTCAAAGTCATATCTATAGATATAATTAATCACAAATAAAATACTAAGTACCAGAAGCGAATTGTTTTTTTTGTGTATGTATTGTAGATTGTCCTACTCGTATCACATGATTTGAAAATTCATTTTAACAAAAAATAAAATTTTAGGAGTACATCTTTCTATTTTGATTAATTACATCACCATTTATTTGCCCAATTAAACATGTAGTTACTTTTTAATTTATTAATGCTTTCAATTTATTTGTTGTTCCTAAATTTAACTCAATTTGAGTACCAACATTGTTACCATGATAATTCACATATTATTCAAAATAAATTACTACGTTTATGGAATGTTTTTATTATTGTGGCAAAATTTTGCTCCATGTCGAAGTCCGCTAATCTTAAATTGGTAGACTGACATGTATTCACTATTAGTGTCAAACGATCCGTGCACGAGTGTCGTGGGTACCGATTAAACTCAAACTTGTTACTGGAATTTAAACGGTAAGTACAGACTATATTATTAAGAACATTTTTCTAATGATTTCTATGTTCATCACTCACTCACTCACTATTTTTACAACGTTAGCTTATAAAATAATATTTTTAGCCGGTGAAGAATCCCATAACCTCAAATTTTGTTACCTCAATTTTGTTACTATTGAGTAGGTAACGTATTTATGTTGATCTCATTGGTAACATAATTGATGTCGTTAAGGGACGAATAAATAAAGGTAACAAATAGAAAATATTAGAATATAAAATGTATGTTTTAACGTTTGGATATTTATTTTTTGATCTCGTATAATCTGCTGAATATATTTAAATTAAATCGAGAACGAATTTCATGTTGGCGATGCCATGCATAGTTTTTACCCATGATTTATTTGACTTCCAAAAAAAAAAACACCACACAACCACGTATGTTTTAGCTTTTATTTAACTTGCACCGTTCATATGTAAGTAAAAATATGTCCATCAAAATTTGCAAACCATTTTTCAATTTTTCATTTTCAATTTTGCATGCACTTTTAGTTTGTATGACAGAGCAGTTTTGTGACAGATTTAACCTGATGTCACAGACAGGAGTCTCCTCATAAAAGAACTCCTTAATGGTTATTAGCAGCTGAATGAAATTTAGTACGCGTATAAAAGCTTGTCTGCAAAAAGTATTTTTATATTTAAAACTTATTTTGTTTGTGTTACATGAACGATTATCAATTTTTTTTGGGTAGAAATAGGATATTCCATTCTAACTTATCATTAAAGTAAATTTAAAGTATAGTATAGTTTTTTTGTTTAATAAAAAATGGTGAAAGAAATTGTTTGAATAAACAAAAAACCAACTGCAACGAAATCATGCCTCTTTCTCGTTAACTTTCAAAAGCGAAGATTTCATTGAAGTCGCGTTTTTGTTCATTTAAACAGTTTTTGG